AACTCAAAATGGATCAAAGACCTAAAGATTAGGCCTGAGACAATAAGTCTTTTGGAAGAGAATATAGGCAGTACACTCTTTGACATCAGTTTCAAAAGAATCTTTTCGGACGCTGCAACTCCTCAGTTGAGGGAAACAATAGAAAGAATAAACAAATGGGACTTCATCAGACTAAAGAGCTTCTTCAAGGCAAGGGAAAACAGGATTGAAACAAAAAAACAGCTCACTAATTGGGAAAAAATATTTACAAGCCACTTATCCGACAAAGGGTTAATCTCCATAATATACAAAGAACTCACACTGCTTAACAACAAAAAAACAAACAACCCGATCAAAAAATGGGCAGAGGACATGAACAGACATTTCTCAAAAGAAGATATGAATATGGCCAATAGACACATGAAAAGATGTTCATCATCGCTAATCATCAGGGAAATGCAAATCAAAACTACACTAAGATATCACCTTACCCCCGTTAGATTGGCAAAAACATCCAAAACCAAGAACGACAAATGTTGGAGAGGTTGTGGAGAACGAGGAACCCTCATACACTGTTGGTGGGAATGCAAACTGGTACAGCCACTATGGAAAACAGTATGGAGATTTCTCAAAAAGTTAAAAATAGAAATACCCTATGACCCAGCCATCCCATTACTGGGTATCTATCCTAAGAACCTGATATCAGATATCTCAAGAGTCCGTTGCACCCCTATGTTCATTGCAGCATTATTTACAATAGCCAAGACGTGGAACCAGCCTACATGCCCAGAAACTAATGATTGGATAAAGAAGATGTGGTATATATACACAATGGAATACTACTCAGCCATAAAAAAAGACGAAATTGGCCCATTCACAACAATGTGGATGGACCTCGAGGGTATTATGTTAAGCGAAATAAGTCAGTCAGAGAAAGACGAACTCTATATGACTCCACTCATAGGTGGAAATTAGTATATTGAGAAGGAGATCTGATTGGTGGTTACCAGGGAAAAGGGGGGGTGGGGGGAGGGTACGGAGGGGGAAGTGGTGTACCCACAACATGACTAACAAAAATGTACAACTGAAATCTCACAAGGTTGTAATCTATCATAACATTAATAAAAAAAAAATTAAAATAAAAAAAATAATTAAAAAAAAAAAAAAAAAAAGATTGCCCTCGCCAATGCTGGTGGGCATCATCCAATCCATTGAGGGCCTGAGTAGACTAAAAGGGTGGAGGAAGGGTATATTTACTCTTTCTGATTGAGCTAAGACATCTGTCTTCTGCCCATGGACCTTGGCACTCTTATCTCGGGGCGTCTGACTTGGACCAGGACTCACACCATTGACTCCCCTTGTTCTCATGCCTTCAGGCTTGGACTAGAACTATGCCACTGGCTTCCCTGGGCCTCCAGCTTGGAGGTGGCAGGTCATGGGACTTCTCAGCTCCACAATTGCATGAGCCAATCCCTCATAGTAAATCTGTTTTTATCTATCTATGAATATCCTATTGGTTCTATTTCTCTGGAGAATCCTGACTAATACAACTTCCCTGTACTCAATTCTGAAGGCATAGTATGGAAGGAAGCACAGATTACTTCAAGGTTGTCCCTCCATAGGTATATGTTAACTATGCACCCATGGTAGTTACATTATTGTTCAAAATCTTTGCTGCCCCTACTTGCAGGAGGATCATACTTGCCTGCCCAGTAGAACTCAGGCTTGGACCTGTGACTTGCATTAATCTCCTCTTTGAGAAAGATGTGCATTTTTGTCCTGTTTAAGAGTCAGCTTCTCATCTACCATTTCCTTTCCCTCTGCAGTGAGACTTAGAATATCTCATATAAGACTATTCCATCAGCCTGCATTCTGGAGTGAAGATATGGATATGTAGAATGAGCGAGAAAGACACCTTGGTTGTTATCTCTGAGATTTTTCAGGTTGTTCAATTCTATAGCATAACTTAGCCCATCCTGATGGAGTCAGCATCAAGATGCTTTCGAAGCACTTATAGGGTAATATTTTTCTTTTTCTTTTTTTTAAATTTAATTTTATTTATTTATTTATTTTTGAGGAAGATTAGCCCCAAGCTAACATCTGCCACTAATCCTCCTCTTTTTTGCTAAGGAAGACTGGCCCTGAGTTAACATCCGTGCCCATCTTCCTCTACTTTATATGTGGTACACCCACCACAGCATGGCTTGCCAAGCAGTGCCATGTCCGCACCCGGGACCCAAACTGGCGAACCCTGGGCCACCGAAGAGGGTAATACTTTTCAAATGCATGTATGTTTATTTTATTTTGTTTTGTTTTAAATAATTCATTTTTCCCGACAACAGTATCAACATCTTCCCCAACAAAAACACAGCAGCCAACTTTAGGGTCCTATAAGTTAAAGTTAAAACTGTAAAATATAAATACCTGCTGAAGTGCAAAATTCTAACCAGTATGATTAAGTTAACAAGACATCTTTCTGTTGTGTGCTGTGCAGATACCCACAATACTACTACTGTCCATACAAGACTCACAAAGCTAGTCAAGAGACTATGATTATGGCACTTCTCAGCTTGAATCTAAACAACACAGGCAAGGAACACACAATTTACCAGCTACTCAGAAATGATTCAGGAGTGATTGTATTATCGTGAAAAGAAGACTATACTGTAAATCCTTCTGTTTTCACTGATTTTAATAGGTGCAATATTTTTATATTTTCGTATCTGAAATCCAAAAGTACCTTATAATTGTTGTTGAACAGGTGCTAGTGGTGAGTAGTCATGCTTGTGCCAATACACAGGCACATAGGATAGGTTTCAACAGCTTGGAAGAAAATCCTGGAACCATCGTAAACCAATTTGTACTGGCCCTATTGTATCAATAGCGACATGTCAAGGTCATCTTGCAGGGGCAATGACCAAGAACTGCAAAACATGCAGCTGGAATGTGCTCAGAAGATGGAAACCTTGCCCTCAGATGACCTCAAGCCACAGGGAACCAAAAGTTCCCTGACTATGGAACTCAGTGTGAGAAGAAAGTCGTGAGGGGAACCTAATAAGAAGCGAAGGGTCCCTTGATTTGTAGCACACTGGACTTATAAGAGTGTTACACTCCCACTCTCCAATCAGATTCCAACAAGCTAGTGTTATGCATAATTACTCCTATTCCCAACTCCTTAAAAGTCTGTCCCAGCTTCAGCTCAGGGAGACAGATTTGAGCCTTGCCTCCTATCTCCTTGCTGGTTGACGTTGCAATAAAGCTCTTTCTTCTCTCAAAGCCAGTGCCATTGTATTGGCTTCTATGCACATCAGGCAACAAGCTCTTGCTCAGTAACAATCTCAGACACAATAGTGGAGCATACTTAAGAATTGCTGTGGTACTAATACTCTTGGTGGCAAGGAAAACAATACTGGGTGGAAAAACATAGGCACAGACAATACTGAATAGAAAAATGATTCAGAAGAATAGGATTCTGGGGGCTGGCCTGGTGATTAAGTTCACACACTCTTCTTCAGCTGCCCAGGGTTCACGGGTTCAGATCCTGGGCGTAGACCTACACACCACTCATCAAGCCATGCTGTGGCAGCATCCCATACACAAAATGGAAGAAGGTTGGCACAGATATTAGCTCAGGGGCAATCTTCCTCAAGCAAAAGGAGGAAGATTGACAGCAGATGTTAGCTCAGGGTCAATCTTCCTCACCACAAAAAGAATAGGATTCTGAACACAAAAAGTTTAGCAATGCCTTAACCATTTTATTTTCCGTTTTACATGAGTACGAGAGTCATATCTCATTTTAAAATATATGATTAAAAGTAGGTCTAAATAAGTCTAAAAGGGATCTATTAATAATGTGAAATAAAAGGTCAAAACAATAAGAAAGTATTATGTCATAATTCAGTTGGCAGTGTTTTTTCTTTATTGGTGACACAGAAAACAATGGTGCATCTTGTCACTCCACAGTGCCTTAGAATCTACAGAATGCTTCATGTTGTTTATACTTATTTGGGGAACTGTAAAATGAAAAATTCTAAAATAAATCCTCTCTAATACCTCTTCTTGTTCTGTAGTTCTGTGCTTTTCTGTGTTGAAGCCTGGATCTCAGAGCTGATGAAGGACAGTGTCCAGGGACTCAGGTCCACTTTTTAAGGGCCATGATTCCACTTTGCTGCCCAAGGTAAGGAAATAATTTTGAACCTTCAGATCCGAGCTGACTAAACTAAGACCATACTATGC